CCGACTGTATCCGATCGTATGCGTCTAATCGTATGCTCGTACGCTACCCCCCCCCCCCCCCCCCCGACTCTGGTAATTTGCGACTTGTTCTTGTTTCGTGTTTAGGACTTGCTCTCACTCACTTCGCACTCGGCTCAGCATGCCCTCCGCACCAATGCGGAAGTGCGAAAATATCAATTAATTTGCGCGGAACGAATCGCGAAATATTGAAGTTGATGAGGCCACGCAATACCGCCCTACGCAACAAAACTTTTTTGACCACAGCCGCCAGTTCTTTGAACACTGCCGCGCGCACCAATCCAGGCGACCGTGCTTTGACTTATGCGCGTGCAGGCACTCTCAAGTTTTTCTATGTGCGAGTTGCGCGTTTCGCGGACTTTTCAAGCAAGCTACGCAACCTGCCTCCTTCCGGTGTGTTTTCGTTTTCAAGGTCACCCTCCCGCCTCATCCTCCCCTCTCTTCACTATATCACAACTCCTTGCTCCTCTTCTCTCGCAAATCTGCTCTCCTCCTCACTTGATCACAACCCCTTCGCCAGTCTCCACCGCTCCGTGATGCCAGCCACGCTGGCTCAAATTAGCTTAGTTTTCTGTCAAGAAACGTGCCCAGAGCTGTTCCACGCGTTCTGGCATGTGTGGCGCGTGTGCGCGTCTGGCTCACTCTTGGTGTGCATGTGAGCTCAGAATGGCAGACTGACAGACTTGCATGCTTTTTCCTGTCGCTCAACAAAACGTCGAAAGTGTGACGGCTTGGCTTTAGCGTAATCCGCACATTAGGTGCGCATTGCGGAGCGCTTGCTCATAACTGTTGACCACCTGGTAGCCAACTTACCGCTTCGCGGGTCCCGGTATTCAGTGTGGAGATGGTGAAAATTTCATGACTGGTGGTGACGGCTACATGCACGCGAAACTGTCTTCGCAAGGCCGACTTCATCGACGTCGGACCCAATGCCAAGCCTGAAGCTTCCGAACAGGATAACTCCGGCAGCGATTTGTGGCAGCGCATCGTCGACTCCGACCTGGAGTGGGGCATCTGTTGCGATGGTTTAATTACGGCCGATGATGTTGCCGACACTGCAGGGCCGTGCACGGATTAGGGCATTGTGAATGAAGTACGCGGCGAGAGTGATTTGGAGGAATCGGATTGCGAGAACGACGAAACTTTGGAGCCAGTGCCTCATGCAGCTTATGCCACGAACCTCGGCGAACGAGCACTCTGCCATTTTAAATGAACTCGAGACCGCCCTTATCACTTCTCCTCTTCGAAACACATGCATCACGGACTTTTTTGGGCAAAAAAGTTTGTTTTCACTCGCAACTTTTTTAAAAACTGTGTTTCATTTACAGTCAAACCTCAATATATCGAACACGGATATATCAAATTATTGCCTATATTGAACGGTTTCTATATCACGCAGGAAATCGCATGCATTATTGATTTTTTATTTCGAACAAAGTTTGACATATAATGGATATATCGAACTCAGCCACCCCAAACCGCCCGCGCTCCATTGACAGGCGGCGAGCTTTCCCGCAACTCTCGAAAGTATCGGTAGAGCGGCGGGCGTTTACGAATGCTGCACACATCGATGGCGCCGAGATCGCCACTTTAACGTAGCGGCGTACGCGCGCCGCGGCCTTGCGGTAGAGGTTCTTGAATGAGAAAAGTGAAGAGAAAAGCGCGGAGCTGTTATTTTCTTTCAATACGAAGGCACCGACACGGCTTCGCGCGGGGGAAGGGAGAGTGGGAGGTAAAGATTGAGGAGGAAAGTATAGGAGGGAAAGGACGCAGACAACTGTCTCGGACGCGGCCCGCGCTGCGGCCGGAAAAGGGAAAGCAGTCAGGCGAGCCGGCATGGGCGCGCCATGTGCGCGCTTTACACCCGGACTCACGCCGCAGCCTTGCAGCTTGCAGTCATTGCAGTCTCTATGGTGTCAACGGCACACTGTGCACTTGTTGCAAGCTCCTCCCCCGTAGCATCGGCAGGCATCGGTCGTTGGTAGTGCTCGCAGTGTTCGTGCGTTCGGAGTTAGGCCTGTCGTGAACTGTTCGGAGTTGGGCCTGTCGCGCGCTGTGTTGGGCGACAGCGCACTGTGGTGCGCGACAGGCCTAACTCCGAACGGCGGACCGCACGTATGTGGAGATTGTCGCCGAAGCTACTGCTGAGCAGCCAAATGAAGACTCTGCCGAGATGGATCCCGCAAGCGCTGATGGTGCCCCGCTCCCGACATCAGCTGAGGTTGTAGCTGCCGTGGCCCTTGTGCACCGCCACTGCGGCGCGATTGAAGGCACCGGCCTATCACTTATGGATCGCCTGGACCACATTGAGGACGCAGTCGTCAAACACGCCATGGCCAACAAAAAGCAGGCTACTCTTTTTCAATATTTTAAACCAACACAATAAATACTATGTTTCAATCTTCAAGTGAGTATTTACTGCACCATGCTTGAACGGTTCGTTGGTCGTTTTCAGCAAGCTGTTGGCGCATTTATTTCGTGATTTCTTTATATCGAATTCTGGATATATCGAACTATTTCGCGATCGCCGCGCCGTTCGATATATCGAGGTTCGACTGTACTACGAACTTCGCGATACAGCGAACGAGTGCCGTGTCAGGCTCAGGTTCGTAATAAGCGGGCTCGACTGTATTAAGAAAAAGCGATGTGATCAGTCTTTTCTATATTTCAGTAGTTTGGCGTTTTTTCGGCAACATGGCTGTGATGAATTGAGATATTTAGTTTCTTTACCAATCAAAATTTTCAGTTGAGAGTCTTGTTTGCATCTTCGCTTTTGTCCATTGTTAACGTGCATACTGCCTTTTACGCATGACGAATATGTACGAACTCGCTCAAAGAGCTATTTCATTGCACAATTTAGACGATACACTTTACAATGCAATGCAAAATACAGTCGACTCCTCTTAAACAGAACTCGAAGGGGATCCAGAAAACTGTTCCGTTTATCAGAAGTTTAATTTAGGCAAAGTACACTTATTTAATGAACTAAAACCTTCATTCAAATTTTGCAAACTTCACCTTACTCATGCGAATGAGCGGGGAAAAAAAAATAAGTGAATGGTGGTTTGTTTAGCAAGCTTGAGTTGTCTTTTCACAAGGTACACACTCATGCCTGACAAACTAGCCAGAAATTTTGGACAAGCCTCATGCTCAAGATAGCGCTGCAAAAGTTCAACAGCCTCTTTAACTGATCCGTCTTGTGGCACCATTGCACTGGCAATATTGTCACCACATTCGTTGCTGGAAGGTTGATGCTCATCTTGCACTTTGGCAATCATTTCCTAGACAGTCTCCTCACGGCAGATACGAACATTTTCATCAATTGATTCGTAGTCCTGTAGCATGAAAGGAGCAGAGGGCACGACCTTAATGAATACTGCCTCAATGTCAGCATCAGCAGGGCTTTCTTCATCAGGTACTGCTTCTTGCGCTTGAAAGCCAGCATGGTGAAAGCATCTGTGTATTGTTGTTGCCTTCACTTGCTCCCAGGCACGAGCCAAAATGTGGATGGCTGCCAATAAATCTATGCTGTGCATTCCCCGCTGTCTGCACAAAGCAGCATTCCATGAAGCAGTTGTCTGCGGTAACGAACCTTAATGTTCTGAATAACCCCTTGATTCATCAGCTGGATCTCTGCCGTTGCATTGGCTGGCAAGAACTCCAGAGTGATGGCTTGGAGTCCTTCAACCTAATCGTGGGCTGGGCAATTATCCACGATGAAGACCACCTTCCTGCCTTGTCTCGTAAATTTTGGGTCTTCCTCCCATAGCCAATTTTCGGAAATGGCTATGGTCATCCACACTCTTCCGTTCGCATGGTACACAACGAGAAGATGTCGAACGCCTTTGAAACAACATGCGTGCCTTAATTTTCTTATCACCGACAACTTCAATTTCTCATCTCCTGCCATGTTAGCACACACGAGCACAGTGATACGATCTTGACTGCATTTTCTTCTACTACAGGCTCCGCCTTTGAAGGCGGAAGTCTTTGATGAAAGCGCCTTAAAGAAATACCTATCTCATTGATGTTGAAGACGTCTCGTCCCTCAAAGGTCATAAAAATTTCCTTAAGTCGCCCTTGTTGCCAGTCGGTGCAAATGTCCCTGTTGACTGCAGCACTCTCACCTCAGATTGCTCTGAAGACTAGGCCGTGGCGTGTTTTGAAGCGGCTAAGCCATTCGTCGCATAGGACGAGGTTCTGAACACCCATTTGCATGGCGATTTCATTGGTCCACTTATGGTCAAGTTGGAACTCCGTGCATGCTTGAACCACAGAAAAAGAACTTTTTCTAGTTGTTAATAAGGCATAATCCGCAACCGAATTCGTTTAGATGTAAAAGTCTCGTTCTTTACAACATTTTCAACCTTTTTTCTGTCTTTCCAGATCTGCGACAAATTTCAGGATGTTGTACTTTTTCGCCACTTCCGTCTTGGGCAGGCCACTTCGATATAGCTCCTGAAAAATTTGGAACTTCTTTTCAAGCGAAAGTGCATGGTGCGGGCGCTTCCTCTCCATCGGGCTGAAATAACACCGTGATCCACCGCACTTAGCCGCACAAATAGGACTAACACACAACTGACTCGCCAACTCGGCTCTCGCAGCCACCACAAGCGAGAATGGCTACTGGACTGGCTTGTCTCGAGGTGTTGCCTTGGTTGTGAGACTACGTTTGGCATGAGCCAGTCTATGCTGTGTTTAGCGTTTGTGCTGTTTAACCGTAGGTGACCAATAAGCAGTGTTTCGATTAACCGATGAATTTTACTGCGCTAGACATAGGAATCCAGCCATATGATCCCATTTAGTTCCGTTAATGAGGCATTTTCGTTTAAGCGAGTTTCGTTTATTGGGAGTCCACTGTAGAAGGATATTGAAGGATTGTAGACAGCGCCTTTAAGAAAACTAGTTAATTTTACCAATCAGTTTGTTACAACCCATGTTAACAATGACATTTGACAATAGCACATCATAAAGCAACATACTTGTTTCCAGAGGTCACTTCGACAGCAGTATAGATGGTCTTCTCACAATCAAAGTTTTCAATCAGCATTCCATAATAGCTGTTGGCAACATTCTCGTAACTGCCACCTTTCTCACGAAAAGTTTGGAGTACCTTCCGCACACTGTCTCGGCCGTTCAAGGTTGCCTGCAAAGGAGTGAAAAAGAAGTTTTTTTATCATGTTGGACGCCACCATGACCCATGCAATTATATATCAGTGATCCCAATGGAGACTGCCGATTTGGAGCAATTTTTGGAGCAGTCAAATTTTAATTTTGGAGCACTTTGGAGCAGTAAAATATCAGTTTTGGAGCACTTTGGTACAGTAAAATTTTAGTTTTGGAGCATTTTGGAACATTTTAGAGCAAGTAATTAGGATCATTTTGGAGCAGGTTTGGTGCAGTAAAATTTTAATTTTGGAGCATTTTGGAGCAAGCCATCTCGCGATTAGGATCATTTTGGGGCAGGTAATCCTGCAATTAGAAGCACCTTGGAGCAGTAAAAATTTAGTTCTAGAGCATTTAGGAGCAGGTAATCTTGCTATTAGAAGCACTTTACAGCACTAAAAATTTAGTTTTGGAGCAGGTAATCTTACTATTAGGAGTACTTCGGCATAGTCAACCCTTGCTATAACAAGTTGAAGGGGCAGTCATAATTTCTTCGTTATAACCATTAGTTCGTTATAGGCAATATCCATTTCTACAGACAATTAGCAAGCAAAAATATGTACTCACTACAAAATATCACAAATGCCCACCACACAAAGAAGAACGGTCGTCGGAAGGCAAAAAACTAGGACTACAATATAGAACAATGCACTTTTATTTCCACCAAATACAGCACACTAGCTAGAAAATCACTTCAAAGAAAAATATTTCATAATAGATTTTTTAGCGCCTCTTAACGCGGTTCGTCCTCGTAAGCACCAAAGAAAAGGAGCAGCAAGTCTGACGCATCCAGAACTTGCGCAGGCGTTGGTACCTCGGGTTCACTAACATTAGGCTCATTGCTGACTTCTGCATTGCCGACTTCTGCTCAATTGTAATATTTTTTGTGCTTACGTTTCCCGCCGCTGTTGTCTATCTCGTGTCGGGCGGTGAAACTAATAGAGGTGGTGTTGCTCTTCCACACTGAGTGACAAGGAACAAAGCCACAATCTCCGCAGTCCCAGTGCGGAGCTGAAGGGGAGGAGGAGGTCAGATGCGCGGGCGGGTCAGTGAGTTCTACAGGAGAGGGGAGACCGGCTGACACGCACGCTCGCGCGAGTTGCTGTGCAGGCAAGTCCATTAGTTCCTGAGTAAAGGGGAGGCAGGGAACACATCCACACGCTTGTTAGCTTGTGGCTCAGAACGAGCCTAAAGTGCTAGTTTTGAATTACCGCAGCCGTGATGAAACGTAAACCGTCGCGCACTATATGATATTGAATTGACGTATACCAAAATGATCAGTAAATGCTCATTGTGGACAAAGAATGTGAGGAAATTTTCACTTCATTAAAGCAAGGTATTAAATGCATGGGCATCTATGGGAATTTTAAGGGGAATTACAATTACTTCATTATATCCATTAGTTAGTAATATCCCACTTCATTATAACGTGGTTCTATTTAACACAAAACAGCGCGAGAAATGAACGTGGGCTCTGGCATTGCTTGACAGCAGTGCTCCTGATATGAAATCAAGTGCATGCGTGTGCACTTGATTGCATGCCCTGGATATCATCGTTGTATGGGATTACAACTTCAATGGCTGCGTGATGTCCTTGGAAAGCGAAAATCTGGTTATCAAACCAGTACTTGAGGCCTTTTGCAGTCTCTCACCCTTTTATTTTACAAAAAAAACAAAATGCCTCACTTGTTGCATGTTGGTTTTGTTCTTACATGTAATACCGTATTTGCTCGCGTAATGAGAGCACTCGCATATTAATTGCATCCCCAACTTCAGTCGTCGAAATTTGGATTTTTTTTCCCCCCGAAATAGACGTACCCCCTACATTCATCTACTGCAGTCCCGCTAACCGACACTTGGCACCTACTTACCCTCTGGTTCTCTTCCGTTTTTTATTATTATTATGCCAACCACCCTCAACCACTTCGGCTCGCTCCCTCCGCCCCCTTCGCCCGTTACCGCGTGCCGTATTGCTTTTCTTTCTATCTGTGCGTGGCACCTCCCCCGTCTTCTTTATCTGTGCGCCACAGTGGTGTTTACAAATGCAAGTGTAGACATCGCGGCTGATAAACACACAGCGAGCAAGAGCGAGCGAAGGTCACAAATCTGCCCGCGCCGACCAACGATCGCTTCCTGCAAATACAAAACTTTAAGGCCCAACGACGTGCACGCTATTTTCGAGCGACAACGATAGGATTTGCTGTTGCGAAGGGTCATTCGGCGCTATCGCGTCTCAGGTTTCTAAAAAAAAAACCTTGTTACCCAGAAAAGATCGTGACAATTTCCACAACATGGTAGCACCCCTGATTCTCGCTTCATTTTTTCGCCGCGCGTACAGCAACTTCTCATGTGGAAGTGAGGCAGCGGCCGTATTTTGTCATAAATCTTGTTATCGACGGTTTGTTTTGATGTTTGAGGGGTAGCTTGCTGCAATGTTGGGTACTTGCTAGAATGACAATGGCGTCGTCGTGCGAGGTTGCCGCGAAGTTGGCAAAGTGCGTCGTAGCGCACGCTTTTGGGCACCCCTCGAGATCACAACAGATACCACTTTTGTGGTTAAATGATTGCGAGAAAAGATAGCCGCAAAATGCTATTATGACGTGCGCGGGCGACGCGGGGTGCGCTTGCAGAAGATAGCGCCATCAACCACCGAAGTTGAGTAAAGTGCAACAAAGAACCCGTTTTCAAACAGTGTATATGTGCGAAAAGCTAAGCGACCTAACTTTTTTTTTCATTACAACATCGTTTGCTCATCCCAATAATGTTTTCATAAAATCTGCCCTGCATAATAAATGCACCCTCAACTTTGCTGTGATTTTTCTAGAAAAAACGTGCGTTCATTACGCGAGTCAATACGGTATTCTTTGCTCCAACCGGGTTACGTTTTCAACCGGGTTTCCTTTGTGATTAGAGTACATATATATGGCATTGGCGTACGTGAGTAAACCAATGCACAACTAACACCACTACAATCACTGTCGTGAACAGAGACATATCACTAGCCTTCTGCTATAGTTGCGCACAATGGAGCTTTGGAGCAGCGCAACACGTTTAATAACTACATACTGTATTCTTGTTTTTATTAAGATATGTAGAAATGCAAAGAAATATGCTTGGATGCATACCTATATTGGAACGCCAAGCTATGTGGAGTGAGGTGGCTCATGAAAAGAGGAGACGCCAGATGAAATATCAAAGCTCATTGGACATCTGAGTTATAGATGAATTATTCAAATCACGGGCAGAGTGGTTCTTGAGAAAGAGAAAGGAAGAGAAAAGTGAGCCCCGTTATTGTCTGCTTCAGTGAGCGACACCGCCGCAGGGCTCACAAGGGATGGGGGTGAGGAGGGATATAAAAGTTAGGAGTAAATGTATAGAAAAGAGGAAGAAGAAGCAACAACAAACTGAGGGGATAGGAGAGACAGGAAAGATGGAAGCACGGTGACTGGAGTCCGAGGATGGGGTACACTTGCGAGAGATGTTGTCGGCGTCTGTAGATGGCGTAGAGCAGGTCCAGTAAGTCAGAGCTTCACTGTCGTCGAAGGTCGTCGGCGGCAGGAGGTGACGTAGGGCGAGCCCAGTCGGCCAGAGCTACGGTGACGCCGAAGGTCGCGAGCGCACGGAGCGCGCGGGCGCACAACCGGTCGGCACGGAATCCAGCGAGTGACTCCCAAATCACGGGCATCCATTCATATTGGAACACCTACAGGCTCTAATCCCAAACAAAAATTTTCTGAGAAAAATTTAAGAGTTCACTTGTGCTCATGCTTGCATACCTGCCAAGTTCTAGGATTCTGAATCCGATATTTCCGCAACGGGGAAGGGAGGAGGAGGGGGTGCTGAATTATTTGCTCATATTTTTTTTTTTCGGCACCAAGAAAAAACACAAGGACAAACAAACGAACAAAACATCGCGAAAAGTAAGAGGGTTGGGGGGGGGGGGGGGGTCTCAATCGCAAGCGCCAACATCAGCGGTGCGGTCACATAGTAACTTGGAGTGTACACACGAGGGTACGTTTTCCCACTAAGGTGAGCGTCTCAAAGGATCAACACAACTAGCAGACTCTATTTCTGTCAAAACAACTCGGGTATGTCTTCCTGAGACACATTTGAACGGACGGGACAATGCAGCTGGCTGCCGCAAAAGCGCGAGTCAAAGCTTTGCTCAATACTAGATTCTTTTGACACGAACCCCAAAACGCGTCTGGCCCCTTTTTTTCTTGCAATAATTCCATGGACAGTCTAGGCTAGTTTTTTACCATCACCGCCGCCACCGCCATTCACCATATATGTATATGTATCTATATATATATATATATGAACACTCATGAAAGAAAAAAAAGCCGCCTGCGCTTAGCACCCAGCTCGTCGCAATGCGCCGACATGCGCTCATCTCTCACGCGTACGTTGGTACTTTGCTCCACGGATGGGGGGGGGGGGGGTTAGATGCAACGTTACAAGAATAAACTCAGTTTCAAAGCTCCGTATCTCTGCCAGCGGAGGAGGATTGGCCGAACGGCGAACGTGAGAACTAGCAGCGCTGCTGTCTGATCTTGCACTACACTCGGCGCATCGTCTGCTACGGCGAGGACGTACTTATCTGACGAAACGACCTCGTTTGTATGTCAACTGCATGACGGGTCGTCAGAGTGGAGTTCGCCGCGCGTCGACAAACAACAGAAAATCATTTGGTTCACGGTGAACGTGCTCGCCGCCAGCGCAATAGAGGCTACTAGCAACAAGCAGAGTGCTTTAAATGACACGTTCACAACAATGAATCTAACGCATAGCGGTCTTCATCCAAAAATGTGTTAATCTTCATGTGAAAAGAAAATTAACACCTCGCTGCAAGAGCAGTGGTGTTAATTTGTTGTTAATTGTTGTTTTAATGCAAGAGCAGCGAGGTGTTAGCTTGAAATTGAGGAGCGAGTGCATGAGTTCGATCTGAGACATCTACTTGTAACTCAATTTGGACAAGCCCGAAAACATCGCTGTGTCATACGACGCATCGCGGGTGACACGGGCACCTTCGGGGCACATCGACGTCAGTACCATCAAGCGGCCTTGTCGGCAGACGAGCCCACGAGAACAACTTGCAGCAGAACTTCATAGAAACGACACGCTCATGCTAACAATCAGTCTGATTGCAAGCCCCGTGCATATTAAACTGACTAAAAGTATGTGTCATGATAATTTTCACTCGAAACAGCACAATTGTCTTAACCGTTTTTTCTCATTTTTTCAGAATACAGATTTTGACCACTTTCCTTGTTTCCTTCTTCCGTAAAAATGGACCTAGGACAGCTAGAGCTATAAGTCTTTTTGCACACTGTAGTTGAATGTGCACAGAAAGCATCGCTGAAATGCAATTTTTAATTTGCAGCTCTAATTATTTTTTATTAGACAGTGAACTTTATTGTTCTGTAAATCAAGAAATACTTGTTCAATATTCAATCAGCTTGCAGTATTGCACTGCTCAGAGTTACTAGTATGCATATATGCGTTAATTTCTATGCGATTTCATGTGCACAAGTTTTCATGGTTTAAGCAAACAATATAATGTAATTACTAATTATCTTTGAAAATAATTGACCTGCATAAAAAATAGTTGGATAGTTAAACTAAGCTCAAGAAACTGAACAAAGCTGTGCAGTTCCACCTAGTTTGTTCAAGAAATAACCGATATCTTTAAAACCCATGACCCCCCTTGTGCTGACGTTGTAGCGAACTTAATTGATCATCTTTGCTAACATTTCATGGTACTACTTTTCTTTCCTCAATCCATATATTTTCGTCGTCTTTTTATTTTCACTTGTTTTTGTCATTTTGATAGCAAGTGTGTTTTAATATATTTTGTGCTGTGTAGATTATTTTATGCCTTCTCTGCTTGGAATTTGTGCTGATCGGTTTTGCTACATTTTATTGTTTTTCTTTGTGTACTATTGTTGTTTTCATGCTTCTAAATTATGTTTCCCGTTCCTATTTTTCTTTTTTGATTTCATGTTTACAATATGTGTTCCTTTTGCTCGCCATTTTCCTTCCTTGTATTTAATCAATACAATATCGCTAGGAGGTTCCCTTGCCAGTGTTTACTTCGGGACCTCTCCTGTAATAAGTAGACTCTAAGTAAACGGAAGCTGAAGGGACCAGAAAAAAAGTTCCATTTAACAGGAGTTCTGTTTTACTGAGAGGTGAACATGAGTGCAGAATACAAGCCCAAAATCAAGCGTTGCAGAGGCAGTAGTTCCGTTTAAGCAGCAGTTTGGTTTAACAGATTTCCCTTTACTGAAAATCTACTGCACTTTTTAACCATGTCACTTGTATTTTCATTATGTTAAGATCATAGAGTTCCTCCCACCATACCTAGAGGGAAGTGTGGCGCCACCGTCTATGCGAATTCCTTAAGGGGCCCCATTGAGCGCTGGGAATGACGGTATATGTGACTGGGAGGCTAGTGTTGGCTGGTGTTGAGCGAGACTTCGGCTAAAAATCAAACACGACTGCATAAATAAAGCTTGTCCAAAACAAAATGTTTAAAAGTGGATATCACTCACGCGTATTATATTATAAATTAATTGCCAACTTACCCACACCCAAATGGCAAAAGAAATAAACAAATGACATAAAATTGGTGGAGGGAACGCCCGCTTTGTCGTTTGCCTGCCAAGTTGAGCAGCCATTGGTTACTTCTTAGGCTTTGTAAAATTGTACATCGAGGCAGAAGGTTCCAGTGTTGAATAAAACACGTTTCTGTGCAATGACAAAAATAAATAGCTTGTTACGTGCTCTTTTAGCAAGAAATCAATCATTTTAACGTGAAGCCAGACATGTCTTCAAGATATAGAAATCCAAGCCAAGGTCAAAGCTCACGTATCCCGTCATTCCCTTGTGTCCAGCAGCTCACTAGTGCCAAATTTACCTGCAGGTAAGTTTGTGAGAAACTTTATGGTTGAAATAAACTTTAACCTCAACTTCAACAACACGTTCCATGTACCAATGTCGTTGCTGGAGCTCGATGCGGTCGACCTCCTACATCGTTTGTTTGGCCCCCATCACAACAGCGAAAATGGCATGAACGCCATTGGCCACAACTGAAAAGAAAGTCCTTCACTTGTGAAGTCCGAAACAAACGAGCATCACGGAAATTTAGTCCAGTTAGGTCTAGCAGACAATAAAAATATCCAGTGTGCATAGTGAGCAAGCAAACTATTTGTCTTGTATTTATTTCCCATCGCATGCGTGGTCGCGCAGCGATACGTCGGTTTGCGAGAAAGCTTGCTTCTTTGCTTGTGTATAGATGTGTGCATATCTGAGCATATATTGCCATAAACTGCTATAATTGGTATAACAAAATAATGGTCATGATGAAATAATTGCCCTTCCCCTTCAACTTCGTTATAACGAGGTTTGAGAGTAGTTTTAAGGAGTTCATTTCGCTCTGGTCGAGCAAACACTGCCCATAAATGCCGGCCAACAGCTCTCGACTCAGCCCCACAACAATAACTCAGAAGTGTTCCTCCATTAAGGTGTTGTTTCAGCACCGAAGTGCCTTTGAATACCCACGAAGATTATTTGAAATATATAGCCAATGAAGCAGCAGCAGAAACACTGTCGAAAACCAGTTCGACTCCAAGTGGCACAAAGGGACAGAAGTGACCACACTTTATGAGTGATTCCCTGTCGATGCCCCCTGACAAGAACTCGTCAAATGATTATGAGTGGACTTCTTTACTAAGAGCGACTGAAACAAACACTTTCTTCCCACTCATCCCATGTTACATGCAAGGTTTTTTTTTCTAGTCATTCCATATGCCTCTAAGTCGCCCCTTGCATCACTGTCGGTGTCACGCAAGATCCAAGTAAATATGGGAACTGCCAGCTGAGCGAGACATGTTGCAAGTTAAAAGAAAAGCACAACTTTAGCTTAAATTAACTCTGATCACCTTGCCAGTCATGGACCGTAGGCCCTGGTCCTTTTTAGACAGCTCCTCTTTCAATGTCGCCAAGTTCTGCTGCAAGGCATTCTCATGTCTCCACAGTTCACTGCAGCAAAGAGGGGTAAACACATTCATCTCGAAATTAATACAATTGTCACCGCTGCAAGTGCCGTAATTCAACACTTCAAATGGGGAGAGCCGGATGTGGTTCATGGTAGAGAAGAAAAAGCAACACAAGTATTTGTTTCTGTTTTGTTTTTTACCATGAAAAGGGCATTCTATCAACACATTCCTAAGTAAGAAAACATGTATGACCGTTCCGAAAAAATGTCCTCATTGTCTACCAAGCCACAAAATCCCAAGAGGGCCCTCCACCACTTCAGTAAAATGCTCACTGGGGCGACACAGAGTGATCACTGTGTCGCCCCTGGATTTGGCAATAGAAGCATACTAATATTATGGAGGGACTACTGGCTGTCACGGGTCACAAGACATCACAAGCTCATTGATTATACACATGCAAATGCCTTGTATTTACCAGTTCCGTTCATGTCTGAAAACCACTGCAGGATTTGTACAGGTTTCAACAGGTAAATTCAATTATCTTCAAGAAATTTATATAGTCTGCCACACATTTTGCAAGAATTAAAAAACAGCATCCAAATGTGAAACTGTGTGCTACCGTATTTACACGATTGTAGGTCGGCCGCTTTTGTCATAATTTTCCAATCCAAATTTGGGCGGTCGACCTAGAAGGTAAAACTAGTTTCAATTGTAATGTCACAATAAAAATAATCTCCGCATATTTCCACGACGCTAGCTTTCTTGCACAGCTTTCAAGCACTGCCGTGAAGTGACCTTGGCACAACGAAATTTGACTACCTTTCTACAAACTTCTTTATGATATGTGCTCCTTCCATGGAATTTTAGTGCCCCGCCGCGGTGGTCTAGTGGCTAAGGTACTCGGCTGCTGACCCGCAGGTCGCGGGTTCGACTCCCGGCTGCGGAGGCTGCATTTCCGATGGAGACGGAAATGTTGTAGGCCCATGTGCTCAGATTTGGGCGCACGTTAAAGAACCCCAGGTGGTCGAAATTTCCGGAGCCCTCCACTACGGCGTCTCTCATAATCAAATGGTGGTTTTGAGACGTTAAACCCCACAAATCAATCAATCATGGAATTTTAGTGTAGTCGACTTACATTTTAGTTGACTTACAATTGTGTAAATACGGTATAACAATGTTTCAAATTCTGACTATATTTATCACATTTATACATACACTTTTGAAACTATTTTTGACCCTTGAATGCCTGAACTATTAAACTGCCGAACAAAATAAAAATTGTTTTCATTTTCAAGCTTTAAATAGCAACCTTTGAATGACTTCGCAGTTAAATTATCTAAAATGCAACTTTAATGCGTACTCTTGTGTATGTCACGAATTCTCCATATGCCACAGAAGTGAGGACCTCGCAACAAAACACGTACGTGAGAATTACGTAATGAGTGTGTGCCATGTATTGGTTGCGTGCACACCAAATAAACAAGATTAGCGACAATAAAACTTACATCCTTAAGACAAGAAAGAATAAATAAGTGATAGCCGTGGAACACAACTCGCGCTCTTTACTATCAGCTACAAAACAAATCATTCTAGCATAAAATATCCAAGATGAGACGGCACTATATTTTTTATATGTTGAGAGCTATGTTCCCCGTGAGTACTTGACAGCCGGCATAACGGGTCTTCCGCTGTGCGGGAGCCCGATCTACGTTGCACAAGCCTTAGACTTTCGCATGACAAATTAAAGGGAATCTCTCAACTGTTCGACATAGAAAATATTTCGATATATTAGAGGTTGATATATCTGGGATTGGCTGTATTGACCCCACTCAAAGCTCAGTAGACTCTGCAAAAGGTATTAGACAGACGTAGAAAGAAAGAAACGATAGAATGAAAAGGGAATCAAGCACTGCGCCGTCTAGAGACCAGACACCGCACCACCTGGCCAGGCTGCGCATGTGCAGTAGCTAAGCCGCACCCACTGACAAAGACGCATACAGCCTCTGCTCTGCAGTACATAGCCCGGCTGCGCTTGATCATGCCGAAGCAGCCGTGGGGCATCCTAAAGAAGCCCGCATTCCACTGGAGGAAGCAGCGCGCCTCGAAGCTAGATGTGTCAGTTTATAGGGAGTATATAGCAACAGCAACAAGCAACAGGCCCATGCTCCCCTGTGCGAATACATATATTAGATCCCTTTAAAGACATTGCTGCCTTTCAGCCTTTCTGAAATCTAGACATCTCATCAACACACCTCCAAGCACCACAATATAAGTTAGCAATCACAAATATTCAGGACATACTCACTTTCTTTCACCTTGAAGTGTGTCTTTTCGCTTTTTCATTTCGTAGAAACTTTTGTTTTGGCTGTCGATGCTCACACGATGATTTTCCAGTTCTCGAGTAAGCTCCTGTAATTAGTTGGTGCTTATTGTCAATCATAAACAGTTTTCATGTAACCAGTGTTGAGGTCATAACAATCGACAGTTTTCTTTTTGCTTTGGTTTTCCCCCAGCGATGTGTCCAAGGGACAACTTTCAGAACACTGCAAATGAATGGATGCATGTTGTGCCTTTCTCAACATGAAGTTCTCTAACCGAGTAGTTATGAATTGAAGCAATTTCTGTAGCAGCAAAATTTTCAGTTTAGAGGACTCTGAAACAGGAGAAATTTGCATACTGCGGCACATTAGAGCCGGTAATTTCACATCTGCAGTACAATGGACAAGAAGCTGCATTTACATTCAAGCACCTGAGTAATTATAAGGGGGTTTTTAGAGCAAGAAATATTTCTATTTGCTGCAAATCTCATTATTAAAATCTATCAGGAGCCTTCCATATTTCATTCCATTTGAATAATGCATTAATCGAAGGTCGCAGCTTCGGTTCCTGCTCACGGCAAGTTATCTTTTCACCTACTTTTCTTTTTTCACATTTACATTACCATTGGTTTAATAACTTCCCCTATACATTCCTTGGCCTTATGGTTTGTTAGATCTCGTTAATATTGTGTCAAAACACAGAAAAACGAGCTCTTAAGTAGACACTTTATATATTTAAGTAGATCCTCCGTGAGCAGTCACAACGTGGTTTACTTGTTTCAGCCAGAATCTGGCCTTCATCAGGATCCTGATGAAGGCCAGACTCTGGCTGAAACGTCGAAATAAACCACGTTGTGACTGCTCACGGAGAATCTACTTGATGATGATGATGTTTGATGTTTAGTGGCGCAAGGGCCATTTCACGGCCAAAGAGCGCCAGTTCATCTTGCTAAAAATATGAACAATGATTGTCATAAGCGGCTGTATAAGGGCCATAAAATTCCTCGCGGTAAGGCGGGTAAGAACATACAAGTAATAAAATCATGACCATGCCGTGAAAGGTGTGTGTGGTGTCAATAGATGACATAAGTTGCTGATAACAAAAAACGATGGTGGATATGTATGGCATTAGCACAAGTGCCTCACTCGTTCATACCCTTGCGTCCAAGGGCCGTGAGGCAAGTGCTTTCTTGTGTAGCCACCGCAGCAAAAACCTCTCTGGAGAGGTTGTGCTACGGAATGCCCGGGTATATGATATGAAAACTATGAAATTCTTTTAAAAACGCTAACAATGATTTATGACTAAAAAGGGGTTCCCTACCGACGAACATTGCAGGGTGTAAAGGTATATGTTGTCGGTAGGGTAATGGAAAATGTTGTTTTCTTAGAGTTTCTAAGTGTTTGCACTGGATTAACATGTGAAGGACTGTTAATGCTTCACCAAATCTGTCACACAATGGTGGATCGCCACCAGACAAAAGATATGTGTGTGTCGTGTATGTGTGTCCTATCCTGAGTCTCGTTAGTATTACCTCTGTATGACGCGATTTCGATACGGAAAGCCAATGACCAAGGTGTGGCTTAATAATGTGTAGTTTGTTTTGTGTGTGTGTATCCCACTTGCTCTGCCAGTAGTCCCTGAGGTTTCGTTTGAGAGACGGCTTGAGATCACGGGCCGGGATTGAAATGGGTGTAGGGGCAGTGCTTTTGTGGACGGATGCAGCGAGCTGATCCGCCCTCACGTTGCCTTGGATCTCACGGTGCCCTGGCACCCAGCACACTACAACATGTTGTTTGAGTGTGTAGAGTGTGCACAAAATGGAGTAAAGTGAGACAAGGACCGGGTTTTTTTGTTTTTTAAGACTGTGCAGAGCCGTTACCACACTGAGGGAGTCTGTATAAATTACTGCTTTTTGTATTTGTAATTGTTTGATGTGTTTAGCTGCCACAAGTATTGCGTAAGCTTTCGCTGTGAAGATACTTGTGCCTGGATGTAGAGGGCCAGCATCCGAGAAGGATGGGCCGACAGCAGCGTAGGACACAGAGGAGTTGGACTTGGAGGCATCTGTAAAGAACTCAGGACGTGTGTATTTGTGTTGAAGTTCCAGAAAGTATGTTCGGATATGGGCAATAGGTGCATGTTTTGTAACTTCTAAGAAAGACACATCGCAGTCCATAGTCTGCCACTGCCACGGTGGCGGGTATGCTGCAGGAGCCATTAAACTGTGTTCAAGTGACACTCCAGTTTCTTCAGCTAGACCCTTCAGGCGAACTGAGAAAGGCTGCCTCATCGAAGGCCTGTTTTGAAACAGAATGGAGCTCGACAGATCATTAACAGTAGAGTATGAGGGGTGCTTCTTGTCAGCTTTCACCTTAAGAAAATATACAAAGACATAAGTTCTCTGCAGATGAAGCGACCACTCATTTGACTCAACGTAAAGGCTTCCTACGGGGCTGGTGCGAAAAGCGCCCGTAGAAAGGCGGATGCCCAAATGGTGCACGCGGTCCAGCATCTTCAAAGCACTTTGAGTCGCAGACTGATAACGGCCCCATAATCTAAGCGGGTGCAATGAGGCGTCTATACAGGTTGATGAGACATTGCCTGTGACTACCCCACGTAGTACGTGACAACACATTTATAACATTCATGGCTTTTAAACATTTTGTTTTTAAATACTTGATGTGCGGTACGAAGGTCAACTTGTTGTCCAAGATTAAGCCTAAGAATTTATGCTCCGCATTGACAGACAGACGCTGACCGTTCAGTTCAATGTCAGGTTCCGAGTGCATGCCTCTCTTTCGAGAGAACAAGTAACAGGTGCTTTTTTGTGGGTTAAGTCGAAATCTGTTTTCATCTGCCCATTTGGAGACCTTGTTTAAGGGGGGACGCGGGTCTTAGAAAAGTAAAAAATGGCCAAAAAATCGATTTTGAGAAAAACGCATTTTTCGAATCTTTGAACCTATAAGCACCTCTCCTCAAATTATTAACACTAAATTCGATAAAAAGATAGGTTAAAATCTATTTTCAAACCATCACAGGAGTCGCAAAACAACCCGCATAACAGAAAATTTGTTCGAACTGCCCGCGCGCGCCGCCAGCGAAGCAGCCGGCGGATCGGCGCCATCTTGGGCTTGTTTTGAAGCTGGTTCCTTTGTGCGCGTTTTGCGGGCTCTCAAAATGGCGTAGCTCCAACACAACGACTGCCCTCTCCCGTTTTGCGAAGCCGTCTGCCGAACCGCTGATTGGCTAGAGCGCGCGCGCGCCGGCGAGCCCCCCCCCCCGTCTCGCGCTTACCATTGGCTGGCGCGGCGGCGCGGCCACGGTTGCTCGCTCTTTTTTTTTTTTTTTTCTTGTTTGGTTTTGCTCCGTCGGCGTCTGCTCTCGTGCGTGTTATCTCGTCTGCTACCCGCTCGTGTACCGACGTCGCCGACGTATACGTCTTTCTGCATTTCGCCGGCATGGCTTGGGAAGCTCGCCTGAAGAAGAACACTCGTCAAGCTTTCGGCAGGAAACGAAAGCGAGCGTGGAATGCGCGGCAGAAGGGAGCGGCCTGCGCGCCGCCGAGAACGCCGGAGATGGCCGAGGCAGCGCATTCTGACGACAACGGGCTGTCGGAAATGCCTGTTATTGCGGAGGCAGCACATTCAGACGACGACTCGCTGGCGCAAGTGCCTGTTATTGCCACAGGCACTTGTTGTAGAACAGCCACAAGTTGTTGTAGAACAGCCACAAAGTTGTAGACTGGGTTCCTTATACTGATTCAACGGCCAGTACACAGTTTTTAAATGAGCTGTGGCAAATATTTTGGGAAGGTGCATTGACACATTTGGTACAGCCATACTCACATAATGTAGAGCTATACAACGGTGCCATTTTTATTGCTCTAGCTTCACTTTAGCAAAAGTTACAGTTATTAGAAACTTTAAATGCGTTTTTCTCAGTTCGATGTTTTTGTGCACCACACTAAACCTTAGGGGTTTTTTTTTATATGTTACTGTTGATTGAGAATGACAAACCTGGTATCATTTTATTTGTAATAACATTACCTATGGGGTGATGCTATTTTTATTACTCTAGAAGCATACTGTTAACTACAATTATGGATAGTAATAAAACTTGTAGCTGGGCGAGTTGGTTCATAATACTGGGTAAACTGGTGTGCGCACAAAAAAAACAGACAAACGACAGCAGAGAAGAGACAGGGACAAGCGCTTGTCCCTGTCTCTTCTCTGCTGTCGTTTGTCTGTTTTTTTGTGCGCACACCAGTTTACCCAGTATGGATAGTAATGAGCAAAAATTGAACAGAATATCCATTGTAAATGCTGGTGTGTTTTCTTATCTATACAATGCCTAAAAATTAATAAAAATAGCATCACCCCATACAGAAAGCCCTCAGCATTGGGGCTATGCATTTATTTTTTGGATCTGGCTTGATTAAGTTGCCAAAAAGCCCCCAATGAAGTGCATAATTAATTAAAGTACAGATGTTAATATCTTTTTATCCACTGAAGCTATTTCAGAAACAATTACATATTTAAAATCAGCATGAAAAACTGTCCAAGATGGTGAGGTTTGGTCAAGATTGAGCCAAAAACAGAAAAAAAAATTTTAAAGACCCATGTCCCCCCTTAAACCCAGCTGAACCTGCCGCTCACACATTGCCAAGTTGCATGACTTGAAGCCAAGCTGAACGTCGTCGACATATGTACAATAGAACATATTGCGGGGGATGGACAAGTGCAAGGAATCCATTTTGATAATAAAAAGTGTGCAACTAAGTACACCACCCTGTGGCACGCCTGTTTCCTGGACAAATGTTTGGGAGAGAACACTGCCCACACGGACACGGAATGTTCGGTTTGACAGGTAATTTTCAATTATGTGAAACATTCTTCCGCGCACACCAAGGTGGGACAGGTCTCTGAGAATTCCAAAACGCCATGTTGTATCATAAGCCTTTTCGATATCGAGGAACACAGAAAGAAAATATTGTTTAAGACGAAAGTATCTCTGATCTGTGCCTCGATACGAACAAGGTGGTCTGTGGCGGATCTACTTTCTCGAAACCCGCACTGAAATGGGTCGAGCAA